GGCTCCCCTGGGCCATCTTCACCTTTTGCTAATTCATAGTTCATTTTGTGGGTGGTGGTGGTTTGTGTTCATGTGTGGGCATAAATGGGAACAGTCTGAAGATATCCTACATGGTGAAACATTTTAGAAATAAGGATCTTATCGCCCAGCACAACTGACCAGTCAAAAAACAAAAGAGGCAGAAAACGAGTGAAGAACCGGCTTCAAGGGCAGCAGCAAAGCTTTAAGGCTGTCTTTTTGCCGCTGCTGGGCATATGCAGATATTTGGATAATCTTTCTTTCTTTGGTTGGTTTGTTCTTGTGAGGGTCTCTCTATGGCCCCAGCTAGTCTGGAACTTGCTATGCAGACCAGGCTGGCCTCTATCTCACAGGGATCTGTCTGCCTCTGCTTCCCAAGAGCTGGGATTAAAAGCATGCCACCATCACACCTGGCTTTGGATACTCTTTTGACTTAATAGGTAGAAAAAAATATGCGCCAAAACTCCATCAAGTTGTCTGAATGTCAGGACATACAAATTCAGAAGTACACGAGAAGGTAAACTGAGGTAAAGTGCTGCTGAGTATGAAATCCAGTCTTGATGAACTATGAACCACCAGCAAAAGCAATGCTGCTGAAATATGAGCACAGGGAGATGATTTCACGTGTATATCCTTGATTAAAAAAGTGATCTTCGGGGTGGAGAGATAAGACAGTGGTGAAGAGCACTGAGTGTTCTTGCAGAGGTCCCAGGTTCCATTCCCAGCACCCCACATGGTGGCTAACAACTATCCAACTCCAGTCCCAGGGGATCTGTTGCCCTCTTCTGGCCTCTGTGGGCACTGAAGGCATATGGTACACTTAAATACATGTAGGCAAAGCATTCACATACATAAAAGAAAATAAAGTTAAAAAAATTTAAAAATGACCTTCAGCATGAACATTAGTATTTCATAAGAGAAGCTGGGAGAGAGCTTTGTAGACATTTATCAGCTTCCAGGGAGCAATGACAACTCCTCTTACCCTCAACTTTTTCCCAATCACATATTAAATCTTGGTTTGAAATGATGCCTAGTATCGTTTCTAAAAACCTCAAGAGCACGAGTGAGGGCCACCATCTCAAAATTGTACAGGTCTTAGAATATCAGAAGAGCAGTTTTTGGAATCAGTCATTTCAAGTTAGATGAGATCAGAGTGAAACTTTTGCTTCCTGCTTCATCCTAATACACATTTTACAGAAGTGAGGAGTGGTTTGCCACACAGCAAGCATCTAGCCAAACATTGTATAGCAAATTAATGGCATGGTGAAGGGCAGATATGTTATGTTTTGACCTCTGTCTAGACGGATCTTTCATGACATGATGCTAGTGGGCACTTCCTCTACTCAGAAGGGACAAGAGAAGGAACTGGTAGCTTCTCTGGTGGATGAGTGTTACTCCTGGGGGCACACAATGATAGGAAAGGGGGCTTCTAGATTTGTGCCTAGACATGGAAGCATGCTCTTCTGCCTAACACTGGCTTAAATGTCAAAGAATACGTAATGCTATCAATATACTAACCATATAGTAAATTGCTTTTCTAATGACACAGTTAATCTGAGGGTAAACCATATCCCTAGGGAATATTGTCTCTCTCATGCTCAACCAGAGTTTATCAGTTTAATGGCATAACAACATTGGGCTATTTTAATACAACATTTAGACAGTGCTTCTAGTTTTATGAGGGGGAGTTGCTACCTTGCTATGGAGGTATATCCATCTCAATGGTATACTGGCTAATGCATATTTTTGAAAACCACACTAAGCAGAAAAACAAGTAAATGTTCTCTGTCACCTAAAGTGGCTTAAAGTGTTTCTAATGTTTGCACTGCATTTGAAAGAAGAGTTTAAGCAAATGATGCTTACCTTGGGATCTGTCTCTTTGAAAACACTATCACTGATTAATTGTTTTTCAGTAACTTCTTGGGTTTCAGTTGGCTTTCAGACACATTTTAAAGTCGAGTGAGCTCAATATCTTGTGATGAGATCCCAAACCACAGTTTTTTCCCTACTACTTAAAAGGTATCAGGCTTTCATTTGGTTATGAATTTTACTTTTTAGAATGCCTTTTACAGTTCTTGTTAATGATGTTATATTACCTCTTGGCATTTAGTGTTATTGAGATTTAATGGGTTTCTGGGAAAACTCTATAAAAATATAGTATCAAATATTATTAAAATGTGCCAAAACAAAGCAAGCGCATTATTTCTAACTTCCTTATAATAAAAGAATTTAAATTAATTTGCTTAGTTTACACCAATGAATATGAAATCTTACTAGCCTAAAAGCTAAACTCCTTCCTTATCAGGTAGAAGACAATTTAAAAAATCCTTCAGTTCACAAGAAAATCCTGGATAATCAACTTGACTGAGTAGACATACTAAAATTTCTTTAAATAGTACAGCTTTCTAAACATGTTGCTTCCAAAAATCTTTCATGAACCTCCCTCAAAGTTCAGGGAAGTTTTGGGTTAGAAACTTTGCTGGTGATCCACAACTGCAGTGCAGGCGGGAACGAAGAGCCCCGTGAAACTGCTAAATGAGCAGTGAAGGCTCCTGGGAAGTAAGTCATGACCCTGTGGAGGTGTTGGTTTACAGAGTGTGAAGCAGGCAATTCCCCTGCTGCACCCAGGAAACAGTGCCGCCAACAACAGAATCAGAGAAGAGGGTCATTCTGAAGGAGGACTGAGCACCACTGCGGTTAGACAGTTTGATCTAACTTCTAAGTGGGAAAATGCCTTCATTTGAGTACAGTTCAAGATTTCCACAAATGTATTAAAATAAAAAGCAATTAATTATTCTCTCTTGTTTTTTAATCCTTCTTAAGCCTCAGGAACAAATTCACCAAAAACTACACTCAAAATCTGAGTTGAAAATCCCTAAGCAGAGGCAGTATGTTCAGTACTTGGTGCTGGATTCCCAGTGTCCTAGTGTGGACATGGGGGGTGAATGGAGTAGCAGGGGACCAGAGGACACAGTTAGGACAAGAGGGGGTGCTTCACCTTCCTAGTCACATAAAGAATTTATTCCTTGGGAGTTAATTTAGGTTACATTACCTAGGATAAGAATAATGATCTGGGTGTAATTTTTCAAAATTTTTTTTCATGATATGGTCAGCAAGCTACTTTTTCAACAATGTCACTTAATTTTAAAATTCTTCACTAACTGTACACATCGGCTGTATTAGTATTATATTTCACTGTGTGAATGCATTGAATAACTACCTGGTTAGAGTAACTACTCACAGTAACGTATCAAATGATCATTGTCTTTGTGTTGGAAACATCCCAGATCCTCTCTATTAGCTATGAAATAGACAACTACTTACTGTCAACCACAGTCATCTTGCTATGCTAAGTAGGCTTGTCTCTGTTTCACTTTATCTGAGTAATGAGCTTTAAAAAATTTAAACTTCTTTTATTTGTTTTTTCAGGCAAGGTCTTAGTATATAATCCAGGGTGGCCCCAAACTCATGATCCACTTGTCTCAGCTTCCTGGGTGCTAGAATTACACTTGTGAACCACCATGCCTGGCTTGAATACATTAATTCTCTGCTTACCAAAGAGATAATGTCGGAAAGATGTGCAGGTAAATATTACAGGTGTGGACCTGCCTTGGACTATGCCTGCCTTGAATACACTCTTGAAAAGAAAATGTTGGGAAGCGGTGTGGGTAAATAAAATAACTCTTTTTTGTTGTTGGTTCAAGCTGGTCTCACTTTGTACGTAGGCTTTCCTGGAACTTACTACATATCGCAGGCTGGCCTTGAATTCATGGTAGTCCTCCTGTCCCAGACTCTGGAATGCTGAAATTACAGATGTGAGAGACCACTCCAGGACCCAGATAACATTCTTAAAGCTCTGTGACTTCCTTTGGGGAATATGGGGAACATAGGAGCGTTTAAAGTTAAAAAAAAGTCCTTGAGAAAATGTTTAGAGACTCAATACTACTGGGTTGAAATCTCTAAATTTTTATTTAAAAACTATTTTAATGCAAAAAAATATTAGTGTAGGCTGTCTTTATAAATACATGTTCTTGCATGTAATATTTCTTAAATTGAGGAAAAAATACTAATTATGGAATTTCAGGTCTCAATGTTTACTGTGGTATAGATGTCATAATCGAATGGAATGGTCTCTCTGACTTCGTAGACCTTTTGGTCTCCTTCCCATTCATCTTGAATAGTATTCTCATAATTGTTCCTCAGGAATTAGAGAAAAGACCTGTTTTAAGTTTCAACTCCTTGATGGAACCATGGTAGCCTGAACACAGCAATCAAGCAGAAATACTGTCATTTTGATAAACAAGCCCAAAGTCTCTCTGTCTCTGTCTCTGTCTCTGTCTCTCTGTCTGTCTCTCATACACACACACACACACACACACACACACACACACACAACACAGGGTGCCTATGTTCATAGTCAATTTTTTCTTCTAACCCCAACTAATAAAATCAGGCGGCTGTAAGGAGACCGAGCGGCACACAGTTTGATGTCCTCAGCAGGATACAGGGAGTCAGAAGTGACGCTGTAAATCCAGCGTGGGGCTTCAACACTGTGTGAAGTGTGGCCTGAGCCGGGAGAGTTCCCTTTGATGCAAGTGCAGTATATTAATGGGAAAAGCATTCACTTTTATTTGTCTGTACTGTCTGCCACAGCAAGGCTGTCTCATTTAGCTTGGGCCAACATGAAAATACACAGAGAAGCAATCTGTTGTAAATTAGCACAACTTGCCTTTCATTTACTAGCTAGTAATTGGAAGGGGTTAAGAAAGTGTGACTTATCAGATCATGTGAGCATATCTGCTCATGGGGACAGTAGGCTTTGCCCAAATTTTCCCAGGAATCCTGAGGTAATAATCCCTCTTGGATGTCTACTTGATCCAAAAGACAACACTGACATATGTGAAAGAGGCACACTTAGTTAAGCTTGAAAAAATGGGGCCCTGGGCCACTATGGGGTCACTCAGGCCTCCATCCAACTTTACCTTTCTTTAGATATGTTTTTACTCTCCCGTTTCCAAATTGTCTTGAAGTCACTGCAGAACTCAAACCACACCATAAACACGTAGCTGGGTGTGACCTCCTTCTCTCCAGTCTTTGGCTTCATTCCAAAATATCCTACTGTTGTTTCAAAACTGCAGCAATAGGGAGAAAAAAAATGGAGAGGGTGAGCAACTGTCAACACCAAAACCCATAAAGGTCATGAGAAGGGACACCAGGGGCAGCTCCCCACATATCTACTAGCTAAAATGGTTCCTAGAGAATGCCTGACACCTCAGGGGCCTAAACAGATTTGTCAAGAAAATCAGCTCCGCTGGAGAAACTTATGGGCACATCTTACCTGTGTAAACTGAAGGACAGCACAATTCCAGGGGTTATGTAAGTTAAACTTACGTTTGTTCCCCATATTAAATTCATGCCATTTATCTGCTCTTCGCTCTGTGTTTAATGATTACACATAAGACTGATGACACACTGACTCTGTTGCAGTTATAGTGATCAGTTAGATGTTCAATTTGGAATACAGACAATCAGGGAGCAGGGCTGGAGAAATGGCTCAGTGGTGCACTGGCTGCTCTTGTAGAGGACTTGGGTTTGAATCCCAGCATCTGTATGGCAGCTAACAACGTCTGTAACTCCAGTTCCAGAGGATCTGACGCCCTCTTCTGTCCTCAGGCACTGCATGACACAGATGCACTTGCATACATGCAGGCAATACACTCATACATATAAAATAAAAGTGAATAAATAAATAAAAATAAAAAAAACCACCCAGGCACATCAGCCCTGTCTGCATTCTGGCATGTTTTGGGTCTGGGCTCCATCACTCAGCATCTCTCACTCTAGTTTTTCTCAAGGGTAGAACAAGACACTTACACTATATAACCTTTAAATGAGCTACATTATAAAACTTCATCATTGTACAAGAATATAAACCACCAACATACAAAAGTAAGACATAATTGTGAGTCTGGCAAGGGTTGAATGAAGAACAAATCTCCATTCTGTCTAGAAAAGAACTCAATTTTTCCAAAGCGGGCTCCCAGATATCAGCAAGACCTGCCCCATGAAGGCACACTGCCCACCAGCCTTCCTGGGCCTCCCAAGCAGCCCTTCATGGAGGCACTAGCTTTGCAGCGATTTATAGCTCTGAACTCAATCTTTCCCCCCTTACCCTCACCCTCCCCAAGCTTCACAAGCTCATTTGCCATCAGCAAGAACACTTAAACAGCCCTTTTCTCGGGTGTTGGAAACTAATCAAAGCAGGAATGGCCAGCCAGGTTTATTGCTTAATGCTCTATCATCTGTTCAGACATGGAGCTTTTGTGGCCATCCTGAACACCGAGCTTCTAATGGAACTCTATTCAGTGGTGACTGTAAAACTCTGAAGTCCTGTTACGATTACAGAGTATACTTTCATCTCCTTCTCAGTTATTAGGCAATATGTATCTCATAAGATTTTATCACATTGCACAGATGAACTGTTAATTGATTCCATGGCTACGATTAGGTGAGATCCAAGCTGGAGCTGCAGCTCCGAGTCTCATAAATTTTGTGTGCTTCTGTAAATAACAAATCTGTTTTTAATGCAAATTAAAACTACTGGTCAGGGAATTTTGGCTTCCAGTTATTAAAAGACTAGAAGGATGTAAGTGGAGAAAGGCAGTAACTACAGGAATCTCTGAAAGATTTTCTGATAATTCCAAACACACATATTTTGTAGCAAAACCAATAATCAAAAAAGTAACAAAGTCACTGTCACCCCAACCATCATCCAGCTGTCAAAATCCTGATAAAACTAAGTGTGTGTTCTATAGCATATACCTGCATTTCATTCAAAATGGAAACGATACTGATCATAGTACAGGAATATGCAAAGAATCATAGAACCTCTTGGAACAGGCTATGGAGTTCCTATAGAGTCAGTCAACTTTAGAATGGGAAGGGCTTGACAGGTTAACTTTCCCCAATATTCTTCTTCTACAGATGAGGCAACAGAGGCCTGGAAAGATCGAATGACCTCATCTACTGGCAGAGCTGGTCTAGAGCGCAGATCCCCTGACTCCCAGTGAGACATTGCTCTCCCCTTCTGTTGTTCAGGCACAACACGCACCTAACAAACAAGACAGTCCCTTCCTCCTGTTTCTACTCCAGATTCATGTGCCGCATATTAGCCTGTATCTCCTCAAGAAGGCACAATACCCCAGGAGGGCACATCGCCCCAAGAGGGCACATACCTCAGGAGGGTACATCACCACAAGAGGGCATATTATCTCAGGAGGGCACATCACCCCAAGAGGGCACGTCACCATTTTCCCTCTTCCTTATACTCACTTTCTATATAGTCATAGATTTCTATGTGCATTGACAGAGGAGAGAAACTCACTTTTTGTATTCAGAGGAACAAATTGTCTTCCTATTTCATAGCAGGAAAGAGTGTTGAGTACACAAGTCTAATTGCCATGATTCTTGCTTAGATTACCCAACGCCTCTGGCCTATCTGGAGTCCATATTTGGACCCAATGGAGATACTGGTATGGTGTTAGGATTTATCACAAATATACCAGCAGCATGGGGTTTCCCTTTCCCATCTCTGCCCTCACAGTCTCTCTCACTGGGCGTTTGGGAGGCCCTGCTTGCTTACCTGTCTCAGAATGTTTAAAAACTAAAAAACACTGGATTTCAGCATTTTTTCCTTGAGTGTTCTGGAAACCCACACAGGAAGTGATCCTCTTCAGAAGAACCAAGCAGAGACCAGGGCATACTTTGGCTATGGCACTGCAACCCAGACAGAAGGCTGTTTTGAGGAAGCACCCCATTTGACCCCAGGGTTCTTGTCTGTTTAAGAGAAACTTAGTGCTAGACTACAATCCATAGTTCTCTGATAAGGTCCAGACTCCTTGCCCTTCCCAGACAGAATGTTCTTCACATAAATTCAGTTTTGATTCACAAAAGACTGATCACTAAAAACTTGAAATTTGGGCCAAAAAATAAATAAATTAAAAACTCACTGATATTTAATTGCCAGGGGAATTTTCTCCAACAGACAGCAGGCAAAGGATGCCGTGCTTTCTGAAATTTCCAATTCTCAGCACAGAACTCCAAAACAGCATTCAACTTTAAAAAGATTAATTTCTAATCATATGTTTTTGTTTTATACAGCTTACTTAATTTCACTCTAAACTACTCCCTGACTAGCTGCTACAGTTCCTGGTCTGATCTGAATCTTTTTAATTTGGTCAAACATTTTAAAAGTACAGACAATGATTCTATCAAAGAGCCCGTAGCTAAGCGAATGCTCCCTGTTCGGTGTAGAGATGCCAAAGCGGAACACATCCACTTATTGTTTCTCATGCGTGCCTTCGGAAACTGCTTAGGAAAAGCAAATAGCCCTTAGCCTCAGAGTAAATTGTTTCTCTTGAGAATAAAACATAAGAATTTACTAAGTCTCACACGAATATTGCAACACTGACCACAACCTCCTTAAAGAGTGTAACCAAACAACCGTGGTTTCTACATTAAAGATGGGATCTAACATATTTCAAGTATGACATGAAAGCTAGACTACCTTCACCACAAAGCCACGGAAAATGCTGACAACCAAAATTTATGACTCCCCTTAGCATGCCTAATGTACAGCAGCAGCCGGGGCCTCGCTAAGGTGGGCCCCTTTCTCTTTAGCAAAAGTCTTGAAAGGGGATTAGAAACTGGCCACGGATCCCTCAATTCCTGCTTGGCCTGATACCAGCCAGCTCTTGATGACTCTTCTCAGACCACTCAATGTCTCTGACACTAATTTTGCGCACTGGGGCAACAAAGGGTAATGTAGGGAGAAGGCCAATAGAGGGGCCCCAAAATCTAAAAGCATAGCTGTGTAATTGTCTTAGTTTTCAACAATGATCATGATAGGATGATACTCTTGATTCAAGAACATGTCTACACTTAGACAACTACAAGACTGGCCTTAATCTTGCTTTCATCAGCATTTTAATTTTGTTGACAATTACGGCAGGAAGCAGGACAAGAAGTTGGCATCTGTCTATGGCTTTTCAGAACTCTTCAGAATTGTGGCTAGACCTTAGAAAAGAGCTCATTTCTAGTTCATACACTTCCATCTACAATCATCATTAGGAAAGTCGTCTCAACTATTTTATAAACTTTACTTTTCCCTTATATGCTCTTTCCTACCCCTGTGCCCTCATTTAATTATCTGGAACTTTTAAATAGTCAAATATACCTCAGTCTTCCATTCTGAATATGAGGGTGCCTCAGTACAGTAGCACTCTCACTTCTAGAAAGTAGGGATAACCAAGGTGACTAACAGTCAACTAACAAGGGATCAGAACAGATGGCTTCTGGGGTCTACTAGGTAAGGTTATGGTTACACGCAGGTGTTCAATGAAAGAGGCAAGAATCAGAGAAGGGTGAAAGGCTGAAAGGGAGAACTCTCTGGTCTCTTTTGACTTCTGGAGGGATAGTTTTTACATGTAGAGGGTAGTCCCTCTTTCTACCTATCCCTTGTCTACAATAAACTCTAGTATCTGAGAAAAGACACTTAAAGTCTCCTAGCTATTTACAATAATTAGTCTAATCTTGTTGTAATGCTAAAAGGAAATAAAATTTTCTAACTTCCATGAGGTAGATCAGGGGCAGAGTAGGGGAGAAGCAGGAAGATGGATGGAACAGAATCATGGTGTATATGAGGCAGGGGTATTACTTTTGACCTCTCTCCTTCCTGAGAAAAATAATGCCAGACCCCATTGTAGCTCATTGACTTTAGCTTCTGACTACACCTCATAGTTCGTGGATGCACAGTCTTAATAGAAATGGCCAAAGGACTGGCTGCTCCAATGCTGCAAAGGTGAGCTAAGCTAGTCACAAAAGGACAGACACCATACGACTCCAGGCTTACAGAGAATTCAGAATCGGAGAGACAGGAAGTAAAGCAATGGCTTCCCAGGCCTCAGAGAGGGGCACATGAGGGTCTGTGCTTTGTGGGTTCAGAGTTTCTGATGAAGTTCTAGAGATGTGGCTGCACAGTAGTGAGAATAATAAGGGATGTCTGGTCTAAGAAAGAACTGAGTCCAAATCAGAGCTGCTTACCTTTTCTGTGCGTCCTCCAAGTGACTTTCTTCCATTTTATGCTCTTTTTTGGCTGTGAAAAGAGAAATAATTACGATATAAACTATTTTCTTCTATCACGTCCTTTATGTATACAATAGCTTTGATCACATCCATCCCTTATTAATGGGGCTCAGGAATGTGCAGTTCATATCACATGTCCTGGAGTTTGCCCTCAGTCTCCTATGTCTACGACATTGCCTTCTTGTTTTCCCTGGGACACTTCTGACGGTGAAAGACAGAAATTAGATAAGTGGTCACCCAAGCTATAGCTGGCCTCCTTATGATCACCCCCAAACAACACAGTAGTGTCTGTGTTATTTGTGACAAGGACTCACTTTGTAGCCCTGGTTTGGAACTCATTACGTAGACCAGGTTGACTCCCTTTGGAGTGCTGGGATTAAAGGCATGTACCACCATGCCTGGCACAACTCATACTTTTAAAATATTCAGAAAAAAAAAAGGTAAACTAAAGCATGATCTATAGGAAACCTAAGATAACTTTAAATGAATGAACACAAAGTCAGTTACACCTACAGTCTCTGTTGTGGTATATGAGAAAGGTATTCACTACCAGAATATCAGCACTTTATAAAACCTGGTTTTGCCACTTACTACCTGTGAGACAATGGGCAGGGACCAACTGCTTAATAACTGCCTTGCCTGTCCTATAAACAGCCACAGTGATTACAGTCAGGTAGTAAGAAAGGTTAAATGAGAACATGCAGGTAAAGGGCTTAGCTCACTCCATGGCATGACAGCAATTACTGGTACCTCATCATCATCTTCATCACGGTTTTTGAAATGTACATTCAAGCTGCTCCTCCAATATCATCCTTGACAGAGCTTCTAAAGTTTTCATAATTTCCTAGGAGGCCCTGGTCCCCTGGAGACACTACTTCTTTTTTCCCGTGTTCATTTCTGTCCAGCCTCCTTCCAGTCTGCTGTGGTTGGAGCATACTGAGTGCACACATCTGAGCATACTGGCTCCTGTTCCTCTTCCTCCCTGGACCCTGTTCAATCTCTATACAACTGTCTCCCTTACGGCACTCAGGCCTCAGCTCAAATACCACCTCCTCTGGCTAGCCTTACTAGGGAGAAGACCATCCATTGCCACCTTTCATCCCCCACAGTCATCCTTACAGCCTCTGCCCTCTTGCTTTGCCTCCCCACCCACAGCCTCTATCCACCCAGCAGACTATTCTGTTTATAACACCACAGTAAACTCCATGAGAGCAGCACCTTGGTGGCTTTGTTGTATTCTTCCTTAGGTCTACATGTGGAGGTGGACTTATGGGAATCATTTTAGCTTAAAAATGCAGTATATTAGGCAAGAAGTACTAGAAAAGAGAGAGGTAACTTTCCTTAGCATACAAATGTATATTTAGAATATGAACATTAGCTAAATATTGTGGCATAAGATGACATATCATCTCTATATTTTAACTAATAAAATATTTTAATATCAAAATGATTGGCTTTGATAAGTACATCATTTAAGTAGGGTTAAGTAGTAATTCTGGCCATTCTTTGCTCCCCCCACCCCAATACTCTTAGTGGAAGTTTCTGTGAATTAGTCTGATTCCTTGTCAGTCAGATGCTGAAAAGTGAACTGAATCTCTTTTAGACCCTAAGTTTCCCTCAATGTGAAACAAACTAGCGATTTGTTCCTACCCAGTGATTTAAAACTATGTGCATAATGAATAGGAGAAAAATTCCTTTAAGCTTGAGTAGTCTTCCCGGAGTAACTCTGCTGTTCTATGTCACTAGATGATTTCTAACTGGCCACATCCACGCTGTGGAAGATCAACTGTGGCCAAGCCATCACTGCATATGAACTTAGTGATGAGAAATACCTATCTTAGCTGAATGAAGCAGTAGACCAGACTTTCAATAGTTCTATTAATAGTGTTATTTGAAATTTTTAGAAAGTGTCCAAATGCAAAAAAAAGGTACTGTTAAGAGGCAACAAATGGCACAGAACCTCTGAGGTTGGGGGAAAGAGTTTTAAGGAAAATGACAAGAACTAGAGATTTCTTTTCCTATGCTAAGGGGCTCTGCATAGATGGAAAAGGACCCATGGTATGATACAGATGCTTCACCAGCCTAACATACTACCATAATGTGTGACATTTCCAACCATGCTATTATACATTTCAAGTTATCAAAATGCTCAATTTAAGCCAAATTTTTAAAAAGTTGAACGAGTAGATTCATGGAGTCATAAGCTAAAATTCTAACATCCATAAATAAAGTAACTGTGAGTCAAGTATAATATTTTTAACATTCTAAAATCTGATTCCTCATTTCTCAGTACTGGAACTCAAGCCCTCGTGTCAATAATAGGGAATGACGGAAGTGGGGAGGTTCTGCTCCATTCAAGACATGTAGGCACATGACCTTGTTACTGGATCATCTACACTTCAGAAGAATACAGAAAAGGATGAATCAATGTTTGTCAACACTGTACAAAGTAAAGAGACTACTCTTGCTGGACATAATTATCTTGGTAGCCACTGATATTAGCAGGAAGCAGCTACTGACATCATGAACTAGGAGAATTTTTTCTTTACACTCTATGTGTTAAGAGTCTTTCTATTGATAAGAAGGAACAGGAAGTTTCAGAGAAAGAAGGATGTCCACAAAAGGAACCTCTGTGAGTTACTGAATTAGCTGTGTCTAGGTAGTCAGAGCCTAAGCATCCATATGCTAGTATGGGGCTCAAAACATGGGGTACAATATACTAATGATAGTAAGCCTTAATGAAAACTGTTATTATCCT